TCACAGCGTGTTCATGTTGTGGGGAGGTTTGGGGAGGTTGGGAAGGTTTGGGGAGGTTTGGGGAGGCTGGGAAGGTTTGGGCAGGGCAGGTTGGGGCACTCACAGCGTGTTCATGTTGTGGGAAGGTTTGGGGAGGTTTGGGGAGGTTTGGGAGGTGTGGGCAGAGCAGGTTGGGCACTCACAGCGTGTTCATGTTGCGGATGGCCCGGCGGGACATGATGGCGTCGGTCACGGCCTTCTTGAACTGCCTGAGGGGACACCAAGGGTGGGATGGACCGGGAAGGGTCCGGAGCCGGGAGGGACTGGGGGGACGGAGCTCAGCTCATGGCCAGGGACAGGGGACAGGGATGGGAATGTCCTGGGACTGGGGCACAGCTCAGCTCATGGCCAGGGACAGGGGACAGGGATGGGAATGTCCAGGGATGGGGGCACAGCTCAGCTCATGGCCAGGGACAGGGGTCAGGGATGGGCTGGGAATGTCCTGGGATGGGGTTGTCTCTCACCTCATGGCCAGGGATATGGGAATGTCCTGGGACAGGGCTGGGGTTGTGTCTCACCTCACGGCCAGGGACAGGGGACAGGTGTGGGGTTGTCTCTCTCTCACCTCACAGCCAGGGACAGGGGACAGGGGACAGGTGTGGGGTTGTCTCTCACCTCATGGCCAGGGACAGGGGACAGGGAACATGGGCCAGGGCTGGGGTTGTCTCTCACCTCATGGCCAGGGATATGGGAATGTCCTGGGACAGGGCTGGGGTTGTCTCTCACCTCATGGCCAGGGACAGGGGACAGGGGACAGGGAACAGGTACAGGGTTGTCTCTCTCTCACCTCATGGCCAGGGACAGGGGACAGGGGACAGGGGACAGGTCTGGGGTTGTCTCTCACCTCATGGCCAGGGACAGGGGCCAGGGGACAGGGGACAGGGAACAGGTACAGGGTTGTCTCTCACCTCATGGCCAGGGACAGGGGACAGGGGCCAGGGAACAGGTACAGGGTTGTCTCTCACCTCATGGCCAGGTACATGGGGCGGATGGCGAAGAGCGGGAAGGTGTGCACCTTGATCATGATGGTCATGAAGGCCATGTAGAGCAGCACCTTGATGAACCCTGCGGGGACACGGCGCTGCTGGGGGGACACGGGGGCAGGGGGGGACACGGGGGGGAGGGGGGGACACAGGGGACAGGGGGGGACACGGGGGGCAGGGGGGGACACGGGGGGCAGGGGGGGACATGGGGGGCAGGAGGGCTCCAGGGGCACCTGGATGCGTTTGGGGACACGCTGGGCCAGGTTTGGGACCTGCAAGGGCACCTGGGCCCTTTTTGGGACAGGGACCCCCAAGGTCACCTGGACACATTTTGGGACAGGGACCCCCAAGGCCACCTGGACACATTTTGGGACAGGATCCTCCCAGTCCCTTCCCCGGACATCCCCCAGTCCCTCCCAGTCCCTCTCCATGGGAATGCCCTCAGCTCTCCGGCCGTGCCCTCGCCCCCCTGGACACCCCCAGGACCCCCCCCAGCCCCCAGCTGACCCAGTAACCGGCGCACTGGGAGCACTGGGCGGGGCCCATCCCTCCCCTGACCCTCCCCAGGCTCATCCCAGAGCCGGGAAAGCCCCCGGTGGTGCCTCCACCCCCCGGAACCCCCGGATCCTCCGCCGGGATCCGAGCGCCCCGAGGAGCCCTCGTTAGCCGGGGGTTAATTGAGGCCCCTGACGAGGTTGGGGGGGGGCAGGGGACCCCCCCGGGGTGGGCGAGGAGGGTCTGGGTACCGGTGAAGAGCTCGGTGTAGAGCATGAACACGGCCTTGTTGTCCCAGGGGTTCTCGTTCTGCAGATCGATGGAGTGCAGCACGTACTTGATGAAGATGGTCAGCACCATGGTCAGCAGGATGGCGTACTGGGGGGACAGGGGACACAGAGGGACAGAGAGGACACAGGTCAGCACCATGGTCAGCAGGATGGCGTACTGGGGGGACAGAGAGGGACACAGGGGACACAGGTCAGCACCATGGTCAGCAGGATGGCGTACTGGGGGGACATGGAGGGGACAGGGGGGACACAGGGGCACAGGTGAGCACCATGGTCAGCAGGATGGCGTACTGGGGACAGAGGGGACAGAGGGGACAGAGAGGGACAGAGAGGACACAGGTGAGCACCATGGTCAGCAGGATGGCGTACTGGGGACAGAGGGGACAGAGGGGACACAGGTCAGCACCATGGTCAGCAGGATGGCGTACTAGGGACAGAGGGGACACAGAGGGACAGAGAGGGACAGAGAGGACACAGGTCAGCACCATGGTCAGCAGGATGCAGTACTGGGGACAGAGGGGACACAGAGGGACAGAGGGGACACAGGGGACACAGGTGAGCACCATGGTCAGCAGGATGGCATACTGGGGACAGAGGGGACAGAGAGGGACAGAGAGGGACAGAGAGGACACAGGTCAGCACCATGGTCAGCAGGATGGCATACTGGGGGGACAGAGAGGGACACAGGGGACAGAGAGGACACAGGTGAGCACCATGGTCAGCAGGATGGCATACTGGGGGGACAGGGGGGACAGAGAGGGACAGAGAGGACACAGGTCAGCCCCATGGTCAGCAGGATGGCGTACTGGGGGGACAGAGAGGGACAGAGAGGGACACAGGGGGACAGGTGAGCACCATGGTCAGCAGGATGGAGTACTGGGGACAGAGGGGACAGGAGGGACAGGAGGGACAGGAGGGGACACAGAGGGACACAGAGGACCCAGGTGAGCCCCATGGTCAGCAGGCTGCAGTACTGGGGACAGAGGGGACAGGAGGGACAGGAGGGGACACAGGGGACAGAGGGGACACAGAGGGACACAGAGGACCCAGGCCAGCCCCATGGCCAGCAGGCTGCAGTACTGGGGACAGAGGGGACACAGAGGGACACAGAGGACCCAGGCCAGCCCCAGGGCCAGCAGGCTGCAGCACCTCGAAGCCGAAGACGAGCTGGACGGAGGCGCCGCGGGTGAGGATGCTGTGGTAGGCGTGGGACACGAACAGCGAGTCCAGCAGGGCCAGCAGGAACATCAGCGCTGGGGACACCAGTACGGACCAGTACGGACCAGTACGGACCAGCGTGGACCAGTGTGGACCAGCACGGACCAGCACGGACCAGCACGGACCAGTATGGACCAGTACGGACCAGCACGGACCAGCACGGACCAGTACGAACCCCCAGGGCCTTCCAGGAACCTCCCAGTACAGACCAGCAGGGATCTCCCAGGGCCTCCCAGTACAGACCTCCCAGAAACTTCCCAGTATGGCCCAGTATGGATCAGTACGGACCTCCCAGGAACCTCCCAGTGCCCTCCCAGTACAGCCCAGTATGGACCTCCCAGGGCCTCCCAGTACAGCCCTCTATGGACCTCCCAAGAACCTCCCAGTATGGCCCAGTATGGACCTCCCAGGGCCTCCCAGGAACCTCCCAGTATGGACCAGTATGGACCTCCTGGGAACCTCCCAGTATGGACCAGTATGGCCCAGAAACCTCCCAGTGTGACCCAGTACAGCCCGGAAACCTCCCAGTGCCTCCCAGTAACCTCCCAGTACAGCCCTGTGCCCTCCCAGGGCCTCCCAGTAACCTCCCAGTACAGCCCTGTGCCCTCCCAGGGCCTCCCAGTAACCTCCCAGTACAGCCCTGTGCCCTCCCAGGGCCTCCCAGTAACCTCCCAGTACAGCCCTGTGCCCTCCCAGGGCCTCCCAGTATGGCCCAGGAACCTCCCAGTGCCTCCCAGTATGGCCCAGTACAGCTCAGTGCCTAAACCCCCTTTCCCACCCCAGGGATCCCCCCAAACACCCCAATTCCTCCCCAAACCCCCTTTCCCACCCCAGGGATCCCCCCAAACACCCCAATTCCTCCCCAAACCCCCTTTCCCAGCCCCAGGGATCCCCCCAAAACACCCCAATTCCTCCCCAAACCCCCTTTCCCACCCCAGGGATCCCCCCAAACACCCCAATTCCTCCCCAAACCCCCTTTCCCAGCCCAGGGATCCCCCAAAACACCCCAATTCCTCCCCAAACCCTCTTTCCCAGCCCCAGGGATCCCCCAAAACACCCCAATTCCTCCCCAAACCCCCTTTCCCAGCCCAGGGCCGAGGTTTCCCCGGGGATCTCCGGCTTTGGGGTCCTGTTTCCCCCCCCCTCGTTAAGGGCCCCGCCCTGATAAGGGTTTATCGGCCCCACACGCAAATGAGGGGCCCCAACGACCCCAAAAACGATCCCAAAACTCACAGACAATGCGGAAGTGGAAGAGCCACGAGATGTTGGGGCTTCGCTCCATCTGGGAAAGGGGGGAAGAAGGGGGGGTTACCCCCAAAAAAGGGGTTTAGGGTGGGTTTAGGGCTGGTTTTGGGGCTGGGGGGGCTTTTAGGGTGGTTTTAGGGTGGTTTAGGGCTGCTTTTAGGGCTGGGGGGGCTTTTAGGGTGGTTTTAGGGTGGTTTAGGGCTGGTTTTGGGGCATTTTTGTCTCAGTGCAGGTTTAGGGTCAGTTGTAGGGTTGGCTGCAGGAGTGGGGTGGTTTTAGGGTTAGTTTAGGGTGAGTTTAGGGTTGGTTTTGGTTTAGGGTGGTTTTAGGGCTGTTTTAGGGTGTTTTTAGGGTTGTTTTAAGAGCGGGATTTGGGCTGTTTCTAGGCTGTTTTGGGGTGTTTTCGGGCTATTTTAGGGTCGTTTTAGGGCTGGTTTAGGGCTGTTTCCCCCCTCCCAGCACTCACAAAGTCCACCCTGTCCTCGGCCAGCCAGTTTAGGGCTGGTTTAAGGCTGTTTTATGGTGGTTTTAGGGGGTTTTTGGGTGGTTTTGGGGCTGTTTCCCCCCTCCCAGCACTCACAAAGTCCACCCTGTCCTCGGCCAGCCAGTTTAGGGCTGGTTTAAGGCAGTTTTTGGGGCTGTTTTAGGGCTGTTTCCCCTGTCCCAACACTCACAAAGTCCACCCTGTCCACGGCCAGCCAGTTTAGGGCTGGTTTAAGGCAGTTTTAAGGCTATTTTAGGGTGTTTTTGGGGCTGTTTTAGGGCTGTTTCCCCTGTCCCAACATTCACAAAGTCCACCCTGTCCTTGGCCAGCCAGTTTAGGGCTGGTTTAAGGCAGTTTTAGGGCTGGTTTAGGGTGGTTTAGGGCTGTTTTAGGGTGGTTTGGGGTGGTTTTGGGGCTGTTTTAGGGTGGTTTGGGGCTGTTTTAGGGTGGTTTGGGGTGGTTTTGGGGCTGTTTTCCCCCTCCCAGCACTCACAAAGTCCACCCTGTCCTCGGCCAGCCAGTTTAGGGCTGGTTTAGGGCTGTTTTAGGGCTGTTTTAGGGTGGTTTGGGGTGGTTTTGGGGCTGTTTTAGGGTGGTTTGGGGCTGTTTTAGGGTGGTTTTGGGGCTGTTTTCCCCCTCCCAGCACTCACAAAGTCCACCCTGTCCTCGGCCAGCCAGTGGAAGCACTTGAGGAAGAGGAGGAGGGTGAAGAGGGCGACGAAGCGGGGGCTGAAGTCGTCCCTGAACACGGTGAAGGCCAAGCAGGTCTCGGTCACCGCGTACCACGAGCGCTCCAGGAGGTGCTGGGGGGGCACGGGGGGGGCTCAGGGGGGGCTTCAACCCCCCAGGCTGGACCCCAACGTGGGGCCCGAGGGCTCCTGGGGTGGGAAACCCACCCAGGAGGGGAGACAGAGGACCCCCGGGGTTCAAAACCCACCCAGGAGGGGAGACAGAGGACCCCTGGGGGTCAAAACCCACCCAGGAGGGGAGACAAAGGACCCCCGGGGGTCAAAACCCACCCAGGAGGGGAGACAGAGGACCCCCAGGGTTCAAAATCCACCCCAGAGTGGGGATAAAGGATCCTTTGGGGGTCAAAATCCACTCCAGAGTGGGGATAAAGGATCCTTTGGGGGTCAAAACCCACCCAGGAGGGGAGACAAATGACCCCCGGGGTTAAAAACCCACCCAGGAGGGGAGACAAAGGACCCCCAGGGTTCAAAATCCACCCCAAAGTGGGGATAAAAAATCCCTTGGGGGTTCAAAACCTACCCCAGAGGAGAGATAAAGGATCATTGGGGTTCAAAACTCACCCCAGAGTGGGGATAAAGGATCCCTTGGGGTTCAAAAATCCACCCCAAATGGGAGATAAAGGACTCTTTAGGGTTCAAAATCCACCTCAGAGTGGGGATAAACGATCCTTTGGGGTTCAAAATCCACCCCAGAGGGGAGATAAAGGACCCTTGGGGTTCAAAATCCACCCCAAAGGGGAGATAAAGGATCCCTTGGGGTTCAAAAATGGCATCAGAGATCTCCTGGGGCTCAGAATCCCTCCAAAAGTGGAGACAAAATAATATCAGGGTTCAAAATTCCTCCTCCCCAAAATGGAACCAAAACACTCTCACAGTTCAAAACCCTTCCAAAAATACAACTGAGGGTCTCTGGGGGTTCAAAATCCCCCCCAAAAAACGGAGTCAGAACACTCTGGGGGTTCAAAATTTCTCAAATACGGAACCAAAATCTTCTGAGGATCCAAAATCTCCCCTAAAAAAGCTCTGGAAACCTCTTGAGGGTCAAATACCCCCTCCCCCAGAATTTTCCCTAAAATAAAATCAAAACCACCTCAGGGTCCAAAATCTCCCCCCAAAAAAGGTGCTGGAAACCCCCCGAGGTTCAACCCCCCCCCCCCATCCAAATGGATCCAAAATCCTTAAAATGGAACCAAAACCAACTCGAGGTCTAAAATTCCCTCCACAAAACATTCTGGAAGCCTCTCGAGGTTCAACTCCCTCTCTAAATGGATGCAAAATCCTCCTTGAAACGGAACCAAAGCCCTCCCTGGGTCCAAATTCCCCCCCTAAAATGACACCAAAGGCCTGCTGGGGTCCAAATTCCCCCCCTAAAATAACACTAAAGCCCTCCCGGGGTCCAAATTCCCCCCCTAAAATGACACCAAAGACCTGCTGGGGTCCAAATTCCCCCCGGAGCCCCCCCCAGGTCCCCCCAGTCCCGAATTCCATGACTCACCTCCATCTCAGCCGCCCTCAGCTGCCCGAAAAACACCTTCCCCATGAACTTGCCCAGCAGGAAGACCAGGACAAAGGCCTGGATGTACAAAACCTGGGGGGGGGGAGCCCCAAAAAGGCGCTTTTGGTGCCGACCAGGACGAGTTTAACGCCACAATTCGGGGTCCCAGGGGACGGAGGGGGGGGGGGACAAAGGTGAGAGAGGGGAGCCCCCTCCCCCCCGTTTTTGGGGGTCCTGAGCGAGCCCTGGGGGTGCCCCAGCGCCGTCCCACCCCCCCCAGGTGTCACCCACCACCCCCAGGGGATTTTTTGGAGCATCCCCAACCCCCAAAGCGCCGTTTTTATCCCCAAAAGCAGAAGTGAGACGCGCCGGGGGAGCTCCCTCCCCCCCCCTTTCCGAACAATTAACCCCCCCCCAGCAATTAAGCGTTAATTACGGCACTAATGAGGCACTCACGGCCATGCTGGGGCTGGATTTGGTGAGATAGACCACGGTGGGGTAGAACTGGTGCTTCAGGTAGTAGGCGTGGGCCACCACGGCCGTGGTGAGCGCCAGGCTCCCGGCCATCACCACCGCCGTGCACAGCATCTCCCCTGCCCCAAAACCGCCAAAAACGGCCCTTTTCACCCCAAAAACCTCTCGGCAGGCCTTAAAGAATCCCTCCCGGGGCTTAAAACCGCGGGTTTGGGGGGGTTTTGGGAGCTCGGCGGGGGAAGGAGACCCCGAAATCGGCCCCCCTGAGGTGAGTTTTGTGTCTCCGGGAGTGATAAAAAAGGGGTGGGTTTGGCTTTTCTGCCCCAAAATCGGTCCCAGCGGAGCCACCCGCTGCTGGTGGCACCGTGTGACCCCCGAGTGTCACCTCCTTGTCCCCGTCCCCATCTCCCTCCCCCCCAGCCGGGTGACACCCCCAGGTGACAGTGACACCCCCGAACCCCTCCTGTCCCCCCTCACCGTCCTCATCCAGGCCCCAACCCCCCCCCCACCCCTCAGGTGACCCCAGTGTCCCCCCCAACCCCTCCAGGTGTCCCCAGCGTCCCCCTCCATGTCCCCCTCACCCCTCAGGTGTCCCCCTCCATGTCCCCCTCACCCCTCAGGTGACCCCAGTGTCCCCCCCAACCCCTCCGGTGACCCCAGTGTCCCCCTCCATGTCCCCCCACCCCTCAGGTGACCCCAGTGTCCCCCTCCATGTCCCCCCCACCCCTCAGGTGACCCCAGTGTCCCCCTCCATGTCCCCCCCAACCCCTCCAGGTGTCCCCAATATCCCCCCCAGCCCCCTTTCATGTCCCCTCAGTGTCCCCGTGTCCCTGTTCCCCTCTGCGGCCCCCCCAGAGTGGCCCCCAAGAGCCCCCCCAAACCCCTGTCCCTGTGTCCCCAAACCCTCCACGTCCCCCCCATATCCCCGTGTCCCCCCCCCCTTTCAGGTACCCCCCAAGTCCCTGAATGCCCCCAATTTTTCCATGTCCCCCCCCCCCACGTCCCTGTGTCCCCCCCAACCCTTCAGATGCCCCCCCATTCCTGTGTGCCCCCAAACCCTCCATGTCCCCCCCACGTCCCTGTGTCCCCCCCAACCCTTCAGATGCCCCCCCATTCCTGTGTGCCCCCAAACCCTCCATGTCCCCCCCACGTCCCTGTGTCCCCCCCAACCCTTCAGATGCCCCCCCATTCCTGTGTGCCCCCAAACCCTCCATGTCCCCCCCATGTCCCTGTGTCCCCCCAACCCTTCAGGTGCCCCCCCATGTCCTCGTGTGTCCCCCCCATTCCTGTGTCCCCCCAAACCCCCCATGTCCCCCCCACACGTCCCTGTGTCCCCAAACCCTCCCGGAGCCCCCTTTCCCCTCCCGGAGCCCCCCCCCAGTCCCACCCTCTCCCTCAGCCCGGAGGTCTCCCCCTTTTCCCGCGCCCCTCCCGGAGTCCCTCCGGTCCCCCCCCCCTTTCCCCCTCACACCGGGGGTCCCTCCCTCTCCCACCCCCGGGACTCACCGGGCCCGTCCCCTCCTCCCCCCGGGGGTCTCCCCCTTTGCCCCCCCCCACCTCGGGGTCTCTCCCCCCCCCGGTGTCTCCCCCCGGGGGTCTCTCCCCCCCCCCCCCCCCGCACTCACCGGGCCGGTCCCCGCTCGGCCCCCCCCGCCCAGGCCGCGCCCACCCCGGAACCGCCGCGGCACGAGACACCTCACTTCCGGCCCGGCCCGCACCACCCGCTGCCCGCGGGGGGGGGGAGGATTGAGGGATTTCGCTCCCTCCCAGCTCCCCCCCTACAACGCTCCCCGCCACAACGGCTCCTCTCTCTAGAGATATTTAATGACCCCTTTTTCTCCCGCTGCGCGGCGCAGGAGGCCAGGAAACTCAACAAACCCGCTGCGTTCCCCCCCGCATGCCCGTACTTGGTACGGCCCGAGCCGCCCCGCAGCCGGAGCCGGTGGGGGCGGGAACGCCGAGGGTCCCGTGTCTCGCGCTGATTGGTCAGTCCCGGCGCGGCTCAGCCAATCAGAAAAATTCGTCGCGCGA